ATTATGTACTAAAAATATAAAGCTTTTGGTATTAACACTAGCTGATTAATAAAAGTATTAATAACAATGGTTTCTTTTATGAACGCTATGTATGAATTATCATCGCATTTATACTGAGCAGCTTTTTGATGGATTCTAATAGCCCTGATGTCTGCAGTCATTCCAAAAAGAGAACCTTATTAGTGCAGCCATTTATCTCAAGTATTCTTCTACATCAATAAATTACCCAGCACAGATAGTATGAATCTAATTATCTGCTTGTTTTAAGCTAAAATATTATAATTCATCTCAACCTCAGCTCGTAATTTTTTTCATGTAGATTGGAATACGTCACTTTTTTCAATGTTTGGTACATTTAGTATTCTTTTAGATAAAACAAAGTTGACACGAGAATAGTGTCATCTGAAATAAGTAAGATTTATCCAACCTATTTTACCGACGGTAAAATATTTGGCCTGAACAAAAGTCGAATTTAACACGTGAATTAAGACTGCTTTTGTGTGATATTTAGATACAAATGGTTCAAGATTTTGAACATTGCTTGATAGTGAATGCTTGAACTGAAGCTGAGCGAACAATTACTTTCCAAAAATAATCAAACGGACAACTAAGGACAACTAAGTGGAACAAAAATATTTGTAGCATAAACCAAATATGCATCTTGAAAAACATTGTAAAGGAATGACTCTTAAAATGCTACTGAATTGACATACTTGAGTACTTTCGGATAACAGGTGAAATATCATTCACTCTTCGCGCTATAAAATCAGAATTATCTGCATTCCGGGTGATTCGGAAGATAAAATAATCTAAAATATTTTGATTGAAAACCAATATTCTGACCTTTTTCATTATAAAACTTTTAAACTGAGACCAGTTAATTACTCTACTTAAATTATTCTTAAGAATTTACGGTTCACTGCAGACACATCATAAGATATATTGAGAAACCAGCTAGTATGCTAACTAAGAAAGATTTCTACGTTGCTAAACTCGGACTACTTTTTCCTAATTAACTAGCACCTTGGTAATTTGCAGATGATAACCTAGCTCCTTTGACCACCTTCATGTGCCTTATCAGTTCAAATGCTCCTGTACAATAAAGTATCTCGGACTTGTTCAGCATTTGAATTCTTAACATGTTTTTTCAAGTAAATACTAGCCCGGTTCTACAGAGGTGACTTGAAAGCACATTGCAGCCCTATCCTAGGACATTGGTTGATCCTGAACATCTGATAAATGCAGAAACAACTTCTGCATCATTTCTAGATTTCTTGTACGTCTGGAACATCTCAGAACTGCGGAAACTATGGCAGTTCATATTTTGAAACCTGATCTCCATGTTCAAATGAAGTTTGTTCAGTCACTGGCGTTGCAGTGAGGATTATATTTACTCATATATCACACTTCTCCACTCTCATAATACTTATTTCCCATGACTTCCAGTAGTCCCTCGCACCATATAACTTCATTTAACTTCGTAACTTGAAATTACGTCTGTTTTGGTAACTCTCATCCTGATTACTAAGTTAGACACTAAATAGTTCATTTTCTGACATCCTGACCTATGACTAAAACTGAATTTTAATGAAAACTGTTTCTTGCAACATTCCTTTTCTGTTACTATGTAGACGTAATATTTGTGACACCGTACAGCCTGAGATAGATATCAGTGAAATGAGCGACGTTACGCAAAACATCCTTCTATTTTAAACTTGGTTTTCACTGAAATATCTTTGGGTGGATAAAACTCAGTAGTCTTATATATAATGCCTTGCTTATTGCTTTATCTGAAACTGACTGAATATCGTACAGTCCATTGTAAGTTCTTTCAATGTTTGAAACAATTATAAACAAAGTACCTATACATTTAGTATTTTTGCACATATCAACGCCCGAACAGTAGATGCTACTTAGGTATGATCTACAGGCTTGCATATCATAAGGATCCAATAAGCCACAATGAGTAGTTAACTTGCTCTTTGAAATTTTACCATGCTAGAAATGTCTGTTGGGTACTAGTTAGGCAAAAAAAATACCACTATTGTGAAAATTATTATGCCATGATGGGGGCTTTAGGATTAAATCATACCATTGACTGGAGTGGGGTGTGATAGCAATAAGGTATTTTCCTTGGATAACCAGCTGTCTCATATTGATGATACTTTACTTATGGGTCAATTGAGGGGTTAGAAAAAAATAGTTTCGAAACCTTCTCCTTGTATTTTCACTTCACGTGTCTTGGTCAATGTTTTTATTTCCACTGTAGTTTTGTACAGCTCTGTAGCTCTTGATAACCACTTGATTTTAGGCAGTAGTGTCACTGATCTCATGAAACTGCGGCTTACAATACATACAGGACCTCTGGATTTTCGTAATCTTCATCAAATCAGTCAACAAAATTTGTAAGCGAAAAACCCTTCATTTTGGGCGATGGATGTATGCTGTGATTTTAAGATACCCATACAGGACGCACGTGCAGTTAGCACTGCACCCTAGGCAATACTTGCATTGTTCGATTGGATCCCAGCTGACAGTTACCTGTGGGTTATTCGACTTAATGGCAAAGTGATGACTAAAAGAAAAATGAAGCTCACGGTTGTTTCTTTGTAATCTCTGCTTATACACCCTCTGACCGCAGTTCCAATGACATGAAGGATCATTTCCGTGAACAACTGTCTAGCCTCTTGGTGGAAGCTAAGAGTTCAGAAGTGGTTCTCATAGTAAGTGACCCAAAGCATAGGCAGATAGGCTAAATCAAGCATAAAGGCACTCAGGTGACACTTTCCGAACTCAGCCTAAAGATTTAATAACATTGGTCCCTGCTACAACGGTTTCTAGATAATCATCCATTTTTGGTCAGTACGAACTTCAGTTATAAACTAAGAAATTGTCAAATATGCTTTTCACTGACCTAAACTCAGCGGCCATTCAAGCATGTTTATATCTACGAGTAGATGAACGAACAGCTCTACGATGAGAATATTAAGGCTGTTTCACCTAGAAAGGTAGTAGATGGTTATCAGAACAGAATAACATCACTCAACCAAGAGATACCTGACGCCCCAACAGTCTACTGTTGAAATAGAGTTTAGGAAAATTACAAGTTCTCAGAAAGTAATCGGAAATAGCCAGAGGATCTCAGCTTTTCTTCTAAGTTAATGAAAGTACTTGAACGCATTCCTGCGAGCTCCGAATACAGTGAAGATTGAAAGCAACCACAAGCGGTATTGGGTAGCGGAGAAAGAAGAGATGCAAAAGATGGCGGTTACAGTTAACAGCAAAAGGATACTTAAAACTGTCATGCAGAGAAGTCTTAAAGGCTGTGAGTAATCCGGAACGAAGAGCGGCAACAAAGTCGAATGGACTAGTACCAGAAGCATTTAAGGACAATGGTTAATGATTACTTGTTAAGTGCTATCTGGCGTATGGCAGTCAGATATGATCAAGTCTGAGTGGTCTCAGTCACTCATTTAATATACATTTCCCGCTACCGAAATGCAAATTGTTTCTCAGGATTGGTCCTCAGTGGTATCCTTAATAACAATAAGGAGTGAAGTGGCTGGGTGTGTTGTGACCACTTCACTTATCTAAGAAGTCTGATCGGCCCTGGAGGGTCAGTGGCTGACGAAATCTCTTCGTGAATGCATGAAGCTTGCTTAACTTTCGCCAACTAGCATCAGTCACAGAACCTCCACATTATGTTTGACAAATAAGGAAAACATGAATTGCTCTACATTTCTCTCTGTTCTGCTACGCGAATGGGACAAGTAGCAAGTAAGGGTAAGAGACACGAGAAGGTTTCAGATGTTTAACCACCTTTGCCTTCAAAGCACACGCTGTATGTCGTAGTTTCACCATATCAACAACATAAAAGTCTGATTTAGTTTCATCGAGATGAGGAAAGTCACTGGACTAGAGTGTGAACCTTTAGTGACTCAGGTGACCGACGTATATGAGACGTATGTCTAGTTCCCTTCTGCCCTGTTGCATATTGTCAGCTGAAGTGAGTCCAGGCTGGAAAAACATTAGAAGTGGTCGGACTAGAAAATAACATCATACCAGTAATTTTTTAAATCTTGGTCTCAGCCATGTAGATGAATGTTGAATCCCTGATTGGAATTCCAGTTACAGCCAAAATTGGTAACTGGAAGCTTCAGGTGATCCCATCCCAATGACACGGGCGCATCCATACATTATCTTCGTCTTAAATGCAAGACTGAATTTCAGTATTATCCCATTCCTTCTCGCTTCACCCTGACAACTCTACACCATTTCTGAATTATTAAGATATAGTGAATCTTTTCACAGATCTGTTTACGAAATTCGCTAGGATTTATTCTCACTACTTGTATACAAATACTTAGGTGATATGTTATTTTGAAGGTTAGATGGTGTTGACTGAAAAACTGCAGATATTTCAGCCATCTTATTCTAACTGTGAGTAGCACAAGGAAAACTCAAACTTTCAGCATTAAACCATTATCAGAAAGTGATTCTGTTAAAAATGTGTGTAAAAGGGATATTTTAAAAGTTTCCCTGTAGTCATAAACTTTGTCAAACTGATTCATGACGTCGATAACCACGGTTTCAGAACTTAATTTTATGGATGTAAATGAATTTTAAACGTGTATTTCGCATCACTGTTGAAACAGTATATCGATAGTTGTATGTCAAAGAAAGTCAGCAGTTATTCTAATTAACCCCTGCTTCATACATACCTATTCATTATCCATTTTTTTCGATATATGCTTGATAAAATGACTACTTAATTGGTGGGTGAAAAATTAGGATCTGCTCAAAATCCTCCCTATCTCAAAAGCGAAAATCTTGCTGTTCTTACATAGCTTTATTGTATTAAATATCCATAAGTTATGCATATATATTGTACAAACCTGAGAGCATATTTTAACAAAGATTGGAATGAAGAGTAAATAAGAAACTGTTAACATTTATGTAATGATGCGGTTTTATGAAGGAAGTCAAGTCTGTTTATCATTTCATTCAAAAAATTCCAAAAATTCATCCAAGGAGATTTTTCCATCATGGTTTGAGTCCAGGAATTCCATCAGGGACTGTAAAATAAATATGATGAGAATTTTTTATAACTCAAAAAGATATTTCAGACACACGGTGGCTAAATTCAAAATTTAATCTTGGTGCGTTGTACAGTTTGAACACCCCGACAGTCTTGGCTACAACACTGAACAGGAAACAGAATTAGTCAAAAAGTAGAAAGTTATTGACTTTATGTGATCGAAACACTACTAAGTGGCCAGTGTGTTATGACCAATAATGGCGACTGCATAATAGAGAAAGCTTATGCACAGTATCTTCTAACATACGGGATTAATTTAGTTGGAAGAATTACCAAAGTCAGTCAGAAATATACCTTTAGCTCTATTTCGTTCGCTTACAAATTCACTAATTTTAATTTGTGTTTATAAGTCAGGATAAAATTTCATCATAATCAGTATAGTGATCGTAGATAACACTCATTTACTGAACACATAACCTGCGAAAAGCTCACCAATGAAACACAACAAAAATTATAACAGCTACTTCATCCCAAGAAGATGGGACTGAAAGTGCAGAATACATTGCACGTTCAGATGCGGACTGCAAAGTGAGAGATAATAAGACAACTGCACCATTTCATATACATATATACAAATATATATCATTAGTTTAGACAGTTCTCAAGTTTGATGTTGTATTGAATTATGATGCATAGAAATTCCAATGTTCTCATGGATTCCGTTTGCATCGAAAGTATGTGAGACGAATGAACATGTGCATATCTGAACAACGGTCTTCATACTTAATTGATTGAGATTAAGCAAGATGGAGAGCCATATTTCAAGTTTTCAATTGCAGAACTCTAGATGGAATTACATAAAATTCCTACTTAATAGTATTTTTATTAGTTGTCATATCATTTGGATATGAACTGATCCTTTGGGCGAATCGTTAGTACTTACATCGCCCTATTTATTGGTTGTCTAAACAACTAAATTTTCAACCTAATAGTTTCATATCGCTTGTCTGATAAAAGTAGTTTTTGCAATGAAAAAGGTACGTAGTGTATACAGTACCTACCTTTAGATTTTCGTCACCGAAACCGCAAGATACCAATCCTTGTTTCAGTTCTGCACAAGATACTGCACCATCTCTATTTCTATCCAGGCTATTAAATACATTAATGTACTCTTCTGTATCAATGCTGCTCATGGATGAGATTTGTGAGGATTAATGATAGAGGAAATATAGTGAATAATTTCGTTTGCTTAAAATTCAAATAAAATGTACATTTTTTATATTTCAAATTCCTTTTTCTGACATAACATCACTGTTAACTGATTAACTAACAGAAATGTTAAAAAATACATCTTTTATTCTTTCAATTTGTGCCTGTTTTCACTACACATTATTAAATTGAAAAATGACTGAATTAACCTATTTTATTTTGCTTCCGATTCAAAATACAACTGATAGAAATAATTGTGAAAAGTTTATGACCTAAGTGAAATTTACAGCTATGAAAAATAACAAAAGCTAATCTCACAAAAATGATGGTAGCTGTGACAGTGAGTGTAATGAGTAACTTACTGAAGTGACCATTTCAGTTACGAAGTTCCATAAAGGTACTCTACAATGACTACATTTTTTATTGAGTAATTGTGGCCTACGAATATGCGTTCAACACAGAATCTCTGTAGTGATATTATGTTGAAATTATCAAATTTATTCACAATCTCATACAACTTACTTTAAGCACTTGTAAAGAATATAATGTGGTACTCCACTTTATAACAAATATGCCAGTGTCATGGATAAACAAGTCACTCCTCATTGGATATTTTGATTCACTGAATGTCATGAAAGAAACGCCTACTCTTAATTTTTATCGATTTCTGAGTTGGTGTGGCACTGGCAAGCCAATGCTGCCTATTGTTTTCACAAGGTACACTAGTTAACATTGAACAGTTTCTTTTTTTAGTGAATACAGATCATAAAAAATTTATTATTGTTGCTTCTGTGTATATACTTATATTTAACCACAACAGTTCAAAAGCATCGGAATGTTAGAAGGATCACATAAAAAATTTGACTGGCAAAAATGCACTGAAAAGATAAATGAAATGTTAAAATGGCTAAATAACTAAGAATTTGCCTTGTGGTTTATAGAAATTGATCCTTCTCACAGTGAACTAACTCATGGACTGGAAACAGTTGGAGAAACGTTGGGAGTTTTGATAATCTGGTCAAATGTTTCCTTATGGCTTTGATGTTCTCAGTAATGCGCACCTACGACCTCTAATGGGTCATCCAAGTCAAAAATAAAAACAAATCCTTGCCATTGACGTTGAATGGTGGTCAAGCTATATATTCTGTTGATAAGAGTAGGGAGAAGTAGACCTTTGTAACCATAAGCAGTGGTGTGCTATGGAACCCAACTGTCCTGAATGCGAACTCTGAAAGGGTCATGGGTGCGCACAAGGCTACCAAAATCATTCTCCTCAATAAAATGTTCTCCACCATATTACATATAAGTCAGGTTGATAAGTGAACACTGGATTATGGTAGTAGAGAAAAATAAGTGTCAACTACTGTCACTTTCAACAATACCATGAACTGTTATTATTCAACTAGTAGTTGTATGATGAAATGATGTTCTGTAAGAAGTTAGAACTTAAACCATAACTATACTTAAATATGTAATCTCAATTGAACGAGGTCATCATAAAACAGGAATTGTTTGAAACACGTAAGTAATCGGAAAATCGTTATACACATAATACTGACATATTTGTTGTGATATGTGTAAATAACCTAGTTAAGTGTTCATTTAGATCTCGCCTTTATATGGAAATATTTAAAATGGTTTGACTTCGATTATCTGTGATACATTACTATTGCAATCCACAGCGTTTGCAGACTGACTGAAGTGAATACATTAGATGAGCGATGACATTAGAACTGATATTAGTGAAAAAAAGGTATTGATTCACCTATCAAAACAGTGAACTGCAGAAACATTTTTCACTTCTTTACTTTATCAAAACGAGAAAAGTTAAAGTGAAGTCTCTCGTCGTTGATTTGATCGAACTGATCGGTCTGTAGTTCAACAACAGCAGCAACAACATAAAAACTATACCCATCGCACAAGAAGTAGCTTTCATGAATAAGTGACCTGGTGGGTCACGCTCTAGGGTTTGAAACGATCGGTCCCAGGTTACAGTCTTAGTGGAAACAACATCACTCAGTGGGAGGCAGGTACGTCTAGCTGACAAGTCCCAAATAGGGTGGGGTGCGCGTCCTTGCTTTCACTGCTAGCCACCGTCCATCATTAATATAAAATGATCTCTGTTAACACAACATGTATATAGCAGACAAAAATCTCAGTCGGCTTATTCATTGGGTCATATTTCTGACAATTAAGTCGATAGACGATTACACCTCCCTTAGCGCTCATGCTCTGGTGGGTGTTCCAATTAACCATTTTCACATAAACTGAATTTTAACCAAGTGAGAACGGCGGATGATAATCCTGCTTAATAACTAAATATCAGAAAGCATGGGATATTGAACAATGAAACCTACTTTAGTGACTGAATGGCAAAGTAATCGTAATTAGACCTAACGTCCTGGCTCCGATCATATATGCAGTCATAGGTGCGCACTTCCTGATAGTCCAAGCATAGGATGCAGCAACTAAACAGTACGCTTAGGCTTCCAGTGGTTTTATGACATACTAATCCATGACATAACTATTTCCAAATGAGTTGTTCACATTTGTATTTCGACAGATCATAAAGGAATTTTATGGACAAACTGTTTCAAGTTTTAATGATCTTCTAAGAAAACATCTTTTTTTGCATTATTATGTTAGATATTCTACTAACTCATCTTACTCAGTGCACACTAACGTACATCTGAATGACATGCGTCTAACTGAAAAATATTTTTATTAATACAATGAAAACACCTCAAAAAATAGATGTTCATGATGAAGCCTGAATTCGAATCCAATGGTCGATTTCTATCTACAACTGTCGACTGGTGAAACAGCCTGGTTAACATCTACTGTCACTTGTAGGCAAACTTAGGATATTCTGACTCCATCTTTTGAAATCTCGCATCAATTTAAGCTAATTTTCAGTCTGTTCTTGAGTAATTTCCACTTTTGACCCACGTAAATAACAAGACAATTAGAACAGGATATTTCATATACTTTATTGTTTTGAGTTGGATTTTTTTTTATCGATCTCATGACTTTTTATTGAAATACAGCATCTTTTAAAAATGTTACCCGTCAGATACCTTTATTATACTTTTATAGGCTCACCCTTCTAGAATCATCTGACTTATGTAATCATGTGGATATTTTCTGCTTTTTTTCTTAAAATTCACTACTCATCAATGTGTACTGGAAATTGATTGGGTAACAATATCGGTGATGACCTTCAGGACATTTTGTTAGACTACATTCTATATTTATAACACTGTACAGTGAACTAAATTAACTTCCTGTTTTTGAAGTAAATTTAAAAATCTCTTCATAACTGTTTATAGTTGACTCACTTAAATTTGGAAGAATGAAGTATACCGAAATTATTGAGGAAGAAAATCTGCAGCAGCATGTACAAAAAAGTACCAGATGAAATGCTGATGGATAAAATTGAAAGAAGACTGAACAACGACTGAAGTTTCAAACCGTGAATAAAACGGTCTGTAGAAGATTTGCTAAGAGCAGCAGGACTCTATTTGATCACAGTGATGTTTACACTGTAAAAGAAATTTACCAGCAAATGTGTGTTTAGAATATAAAAACTAGTGTAACCAAAGACAGCAGTTTTTCTCATCATATCACTAGAACTATTAACACGTATCAACTAGTGTAAATAGTCATTCAAATTTGTTTACAATGAATTTGACCATCAAAGTCATGGGAATAAACGATAGAAGAATCAGATGGGAAATGAAATGTAGTTGATGGTTCCGTATGTAGGTTTTAATGAGTCTCAGAATACACAATATCATTATCAAAATTAATCTAATGTCAGAAAAAGAATTATAATCTGGAATGGTACATAAGTTTTGCTCAAAATTTAGCGCCGATTGGAAATAACCGAGAAATGAATAAAACTGCGATGTCATTTTACGTTATGTGGTGAATGTTGATAACATTTCTATGAAGCCGGTTGGATTCATTCTGAATGAAATTTTGTGGCTTTTAGAAGCTCATCCAATGTAATTCTGCCATCTTCATTGAGTCTAGATGTTGCATTATGTTCTACAAATAAAGAACAAAATACATGTTCATGTGATAAGTCCACTTGACACTCGTATTGAGTCAATATCACAAAACATACCTTTGAATTTCAGCTAATTAACAATTATGTAGCGATATTTTAGCATAAATGAAATAAAATATACATGTAGTCTTTGGATATCACTAGAAATATGCTCCTAATTTCCTTTTCCAAAGCTTTGTGACTCAACTAGGTATTCATGTTATGCTGTGCGTCAAGAGAGATTCTGATCTTTCAAGAGTTTCATAGGTTTTATCGACTTTTACATAATAACACAATAAGTAGCTCACTACTCTCGGAACAGTCTGTGTCAGAACTAACTGGTAAAAAATGAAACAATAACACAGTTTTTTAAAAAGTGGAAAAAGTAACTTGTATGGCGTTAAAAATAGCGAGGATCGCATGTAGCTAAACTTGTAACGACTTGTTTCCTAAATTATGGAATGGATCTGTTCATAATGATGGTTGTGACATGATTCCTCACTTCTTTTTTAGTACAACTGTGAATTACTTTGTTGGGTAAATGTTGTTCTTTAATCATCGACAACATTTCAGAGAATCTGACACACTAACAACCGATAACCAAGTGGTCAACACTGAGATATACAATCATTATACGTTAATTAAAGTTTGCAGCTCCATTTCGCTTCAATGGACAAAAGTCTGAATAAAAAAAGTTAAGTCTTTTACTTAGGCTACAAATTATTTGAACCAATGACTACTAGTTCAATATTATTTTAAGGCAATATACTACAACACATTTAGTTGGTTAAACTTTGAAACGGATATTTGACATGACTTTCTTCATCCTTTGATACAGCTCATAACTTTTAATTTAGTACAATCATTTGATATTGTGAAAACTTTGAGTATCTTGACAGGTAAATACTCAAAAACTCAGCTTCCGTTCATGAG